TCCTGAATCTGAGGCTCCAATACTTTGGCCATCTGATGAGAAGAGAAGACTCCCTGGAAAAGACCCTGATGTTGGGAAAGTGTAAGGGCAAGAGGAGAAGGGGACAACAGAGGATGAGATGGCTGGACAGTGTCATCGAAGCTACCAACATGACTTTGACCCAACTCCAGGAGGCAGTGGAAGACAGGAGTCAATGGAGTCACAAAGAGTCGGACACGACTAAACAACTAAACAACAACAAATCTGCTGTAAGTCAAATCACTTTTTCCTATGCTGTGTGTTGCTTCATGTCATGTTATGCTGCCAGAGGAATGTCTATTCTCTATGTATATATGTAAATAGACTAAATTGTTGGTTTTACTCTTTCAGTGTCATAGTGTCATAAGTATCTGTGCTAACCAATATCTCCTTACTCTGCTGATGTTATGAGAATACATGTTATAGTCATGTATTCTGTGTTGCAATACTTCAGATGAGGAAGTCAAATAGCAAATAGATTGCAGTCTCCAGTTGTGTGTATGCCATCATGTTTTAATGGAATACTGACAGTTAAAAATTCTAGTGTTTTATAAGGTTTTATACTTATGTGACTGGTCTAAGGACCGTAAATAAACTTCTATTCTATTCTGCACTGGATGGGTCATTTCCAATTTATTACAGCATGTAGCAATTTTACATCCAGTTTTGTCCAAAGGTTCAGTTCATCCATCCAGGCATTCCGGTATTCCAAGACCTGCCTCTCTACTCCTTGACATGTGTGCATATGAGCTGACACTTGGACAGTGTCAGCCGCCTTCCTAGTCTCCACAAGGCTCTCCTTATCCCTGCTCCTTATCAGGGGGCCGAATGGGAATATGGATGCATAAGAATGGGACCACAGAGGTTTCTTTCAGTGCTCTGAAGTGAGGATGCTGCATGGCTAAGGAGCCTGCAGTTGGACTGGATCATGCCCAAAATAGAGATAGCCTACAATTTGGCCTCTTTCTGGCTTTTGTAGCCCACCCATTACAAAGGTTTCCAAATCTGATCTGATTTGCCAAACCATTCACCAACACAGAGATAGACATGGCATTCAGCTGATGTGACAGTAGTTCTTTCCCTATTTTCCAGGGGAAATGTGCAAATGGTAGATTTGTGCGTAGAATGCGGAAGGAGAAAAGGAAGCTTGGGATTTTCTTGCAAATAATGTTTAGCCTTTCATCCAGTCACAGTTCCCGATATTCTTCAGGGGAAACTGTGGAACTTAAAATGGTAGAAATGCTATTGTTCTGTTGCTTAGGGGAGGCATTAGAAACCATTTGGCAGAATAAATAGAGTCTAGTCAACAGGAGAGCATGGAGAGTGAGCCTTGAAATCAGCACAGAGATAGGATATATGCCCCAGGGGGGAAACAAAGGCTGCAGATGGCAAAACTGTCAGAGTCCATACTATCTGGAACGCTGGAAGGAAAATTCCTGAGGGTTTTGGCTGCAAGTACACCTCTATAAACCCACTTTGTTCAGGAGGGAACTCCGATTGCCATTTGTACTGTGTCTTCGTTTTGTCACTTTTGTTTACTATGTATGCTGCAGTCAAGGAAGGTCAGACCTTGTAGGTGAACTGAATTTTCATTCAAGTTGAGTTGCCATCTGGCAGGCAAGAGATGGACTGGCTTCTCAAATGAGACTAGATAAGGGTCCAACTTTCTGCTGCTCCATCCTCAAGGTCTTGCTCCCAAACCAAAGTCAGTTTATTTCCTTGTTTTTCCAAGCAGGTGGAGAAAAATACTTAGCATCTTCAAACACCTGACTGGTTGCACTGTTTCTGTCTGTATACCTTACCCCCCCTCTCTGTGTGTGTGTGTGTGTGTGTGTGTTCAGGTTCACAGTGAGAGAGGTGTGAGCTCTTGTGGCCTTGTCCTCTGATTTGGGCACATCACACTTTAATTTGGGACGCATCATGGAAGACTGGCGAAATAACAACCATGCAGCTTATGGGAATGGCCAGTGGAAAAAAGCAAGCTTCTGTCTGCTGATTTATTTTTACTTCTTGTGCGGCTGAGGCAATATCTGACGTTTCTCATTCCAAGGCAAAAATCTATATCCTAAGTGAGAAATACTTCAAAAATTGTTTGTATACAGGAAGTGCTGACACTGAGCTGTATAACACTAATCTGATAGCAATCAATCCTCTCCTGTCATATATTTAGGCAAATGCTTATGACTGGCAATAAATTGTTCAGGCAAGGAGCCACAACCATTGCTTTTCAAAAAACAAACCTCGCAAATGCCTGTATCGATTTTGTAGTCTCTGGTGTAAGCTCTTGGCCCAGCTTTCTATTCATTATGCATACACCTGCTGTTATTAATGCTTTCCCACAGCTTTGGTGGTTGTTGGCCTTGGTTTGGATTTGCCACTTGGCTGACTGACTGGTGGAATTTCTTGTCCTTGCTTCTCTGATTAGCCCCTCTAGCCCCCTTGATAATGCTCATCGGGAAATCAGGGGACCCTGGGGAGGATTGTGGGGGAATCCCCCCCCAAATAAGACACAGTACCTTCCGTAAGTACTCTCTGCTCAAGATGTCTTCACCTAATTGTCCCCTCTTTTCACCCAGCCCATAGCACAGCCCATTCAGTGGAGTCTCCACCCTCTGTGTAGGGGCCTCGGCAAGTCGTCAGAAGCAAGAAGCCGTCTAGAATGCCGGTTTCACTGTAGAGCACATCTCAGCTATGCTACTGTATAGAAAGCTAGTTCCAGAAAACAGATTGGTTGACCTTAGCACTCGGCCAATAAAAATGCTTTGGTTTTGCTCACAAATGTGGGTTTTTGTTTACTGATACATCTATGTTGTTTTTTAAATCCTGCCCTCCTTTGAAAGAGCTCAGTGCAGGAGGCTTTCCTCATGC